AGCTAATTACATAGACTTGAATGAATACAAAAGACTTGATTTGAACTTGATTAAACATGAGAAACTTGCACATTTAACGATGACAAGATGAACTCAAATAATTTGAACTTAAACTTGAACAAAATAACAGGGAATTGACACTTGAATGTATAGTAGGGAACTCGAATTGAGCATGAGCTTAACTTGCACAAATTCATAGAACTTGAATCGAGTGATAGGGCCCAAACTTGAATTTGAACATAAAGAATAGTCAATAAGAACTTGATGTGAATGATGACACAACGAACTCAAATGATTCATAAAGAACTTAAGCTTGAATGAAATCCACATAACTAAACTTTGAATTGACTAATAAACAATCAAAATCTAAACGAATCCTGATCATTCAAGTGTACATAAGTGAACAAGCAACTCAATGCAGAACAATGAAATTGAAATGCCTTGGAGCATTAAAATTAATAAACAAGAAATGAGTTTGATGGCTTACCAATGGCCATATACAAGATATGCAGTGTATTTGTAATCAATAGCCACAAGTTGTTAAGCAAATGCATTAATCTACTCGCAGATGGATATAATAGCCTCCTATAAATGTGAAGCTGTTATACAATGAATATAATAACCTGTCAATCAATACACATAAAGAGGTTAACAATGTTTATAACAACACCTTGCAACCAACATCAGAATACAAGCGATCATGTTCAATCTTGCAAGCAATAATCATCAATGATTAATGAAGATGTGTGATCTAATTAGAAATAGATGCATATGAATGTCATGATGAGTATTACAAATCATATACAAATGATAATAACATTCATATCAATCTCACAAGAAGATATACAAAATAGCAAGGGAGATTTAATGCATATAATGAATTACTCACTAATGGTAATGAGAGATATGCGATGAAATTTGCAGAACCCTCACAACCAACTACCCTTCAATGACTAGCAAATACATCGATCCATTATAAGCATGATATTAATTGATCTGAGACAAATACAAACTACTACAAGTATCTATAAGAGGCTTGACTTGCACACAACTAACTTGCTCACGTATAATAGTGAAAAAGGCCCACAGTACATACAACGAGCTTACTTACAAAATAGTGAATGTATCACTAATGTGGTGGATCTTCTACAGGCATGAGATAGAGAATCGTAGCAAACCCAAATACTTGCTAGCTGGGATGGAAGACCCACTGTATACATAATAGTATACATATGAGTGGTGAATGACAACATATGGTGGATGTTACAACATCCCTATAGGCAATAACTGAACGATGGGAACACATACGTTGATATGTTACAACAAAATTTGATGACGTGCTTGTAATTAAAGCATACATAGATGACGACTAACATGCAAGCTACATTAGTAGATATGATGTAGATGTGATGAGTACCCTATGGACACAAGCATGTATTTATCACATCATCTATGGGAAAATATATAAGGACTACGATAAACATAACTTTCTATGAGCTGCTGTAGAAGACATCTCAGACATCCAAAAATGCCCCCACACTTATATTACAATATGTATATATAGATGATTTCAAAATGCCCCCAAATATCCTCATGGGCTTTGGTGAATGTGTTGTATTTATACACGTGACGTCTGAGGATGCTGTGTAGGTTAATAAACAAATTTAAGTTCAAGTCCAATCCTTCTCCTTGATATAAGAGTTGACACGATTTGAACCAAAGAATGAACATACGGTCGCAGCATCGATGAGGATATTTGATTTTATACGTTCATATTAGGCATTCAAGGCCTATAAATAAAGAAAATTCACCAACAATGGCATACAACTAACAATGAGCTCGATCCTCTATCAACAAGTAGATATAGCAGACAATATTCAACATATAAATGAAATTCTCCATAAAACCCCAAATGATGGCCGTGTTGAACGTAGATCTCAACTAGAGGGGTTGTTTAAATACTAAAAAATTCCACCCAAATGCCATAAAGATCCAAAATCTCCAAAATTCTAAAATCCAAATATTTAAAATCGAAATTCAATCATCAAATACTTAAAGAAAGACCTATCCATTCTCTGTAACAGTTTGTCGAGGTGGATAAATGCAAATATCACTCCAGCTCACAAAGAACTAATATTTGATAAAGAATATCACTTGGATTCATTCTCAAATAATCTCTTACTAGTAAAGACGTGACACATGTCCTCTAACTGATAGTTTTGCCGCCAATTGGAACCACAGATAAATGGTTATGATCCGGGCCCTCTGAACTGTGTGGTTTACCACCAAATGACACCACTAAATTATGGTCATGACTAGACCACGTATGCTCCCCAATGATGCTAAATCCTTGAGATATGAATCAATAGAATATAATCGATAGGGCACAAATCCTTCTGTGGGCTAAGATGGATTCACATTTGTCCACTTAGACAAATATTCACCTCAAGTTTACAAGATACCCTTGGACGAAGCAACCCATGGCTATTGACAAGGATCCTTCTATTAGGTTAGGTCAACTATCTACTTTGACTAAATAAACCATGAACCCCGATGGCACGGGATGAAAAAACCATGGGATATTGATCGGGCTCATCATCATTCCCCCACCATCCACTTTAAGTGCAATATGATGAAATTCTAATTTTAATAATAAATCTTCAAATACCCTAACTCATGTTGTTATTATATGCCAGATACACTTATCTCTATGCATCTGATTGACGACTAGCCTTAATTGAAAGTTCTCTCCGTTATTGATAGGGAGGGGAAATTAGCTATAAGGGCTTGTGCCTATAGGAAACCAGAACTCAGATCATAAAGTCCTTGTAAAATGAGGGAGAAATCCTTGGGTAGTGTCTTATCTACCCAATACAACTCGAACCCGACCCGAAAATTTACCTTGGAAAACTAGGGGTGTTAATATTTGACACGACCCGAAAATACAACTCGAACCCGACCCGAAAATTTCGGGTTAGGGTCAACCCGAACCCGAAACGGGGTTGGGTTCGGGTTCAACGTTTCGACCAGTTTCAAAAATTGGGTCGGGTTCGGGTTAACCCTTTGACCTGAAATTGACCCGTTTTTGACCCGAAAACTCGATTTTGACCCGACAACCCGAGATTGACCCGATTTTAACCCAAAAAAGCTGAGATAGACCCATTTTTTTACCCAAAAAAGAGGAGATAGACCCATTTTGACCCAAAACTAGCAATTTTTTGTTGGAAATGGGCCTTTCGGGTCGTATCGGGTTGACCCAGACTCAAAACGGGTCGGGTTAGGGTCAGAAAAATGGACTTGTTTTAAAAAATGGGTAGGGTTCGGGTTGACCCGAATAGTGCTGGGTTAGTTTCGGGTTTGACCCGAACCCGACCCATGACCCGAAATTGACACCCCTATTGGAAACTAAATATTTTAAATCTCCCCCGAGAAAGATGGGATGCTGGAGCACAAATTTTTGGAGCCCACAACTCATATTTAATTTTTAAAGATGTTAACTATGTAACTTACATTTGATTTTTTAAGATGGTGGTTATCAAATTTAAGTGCATGAAATTCAATCTTTCTACTTACCATATTTAAGTATTATATAAAAAGATTATTGTAATGCATGGAAGGATCCATGAAAAGTTGTAGCAAAGAGAGCAGAGGAAGAGAAAGAAAGAAGTGATAGGAACTATCCAAGAAAGAAAGAAAGAGGTTTTTTTAGGTGTTTGCAAGAGGAACTCTTTAGCTTTTGCAAAGAGGAACAAGTGCTACTATTTTCAGTTAAAGTAAGAGAAGAAGCTCTTGATCATAGCAATGAGTAATAAAAATGAGTAACTAGAGTACTAAAATCACCCCCTTCTCTACATCTAGTCCTTATCTTTACCATAATGGCTACATTTTCTCTTTTCTTGACGAAATCATACTTTTGTCCATATGTGATTTTGAATGAAGTGTGATTCTTCATGTAGGCTTACATAAGCCAAACCATGTAAAGTTCGACGTTCTATTTTGTGATTCTCAATCTCTTTTGCTTTTATTGTATGATTCATAATACTTTCTATTAGCGTAAGAGCACTCACTTTCCTAACAATTGTCATTAGATGAATATTAATTAAAAAATTTTATACTTGGAATGTCATTGTGGATTTTTTTTTTGGTGAAAATATTCATTAGGTTTCAGCTGAAGATAGTTCTTTAGCTATCTATTTAGATAATGTCAGATTTAAAGATACAAAGCATTCTAACTATCAAAGTACATTGGGTAGATGAATCTTTTAAGAGGTGAAATATTATTCGCTTCCAAATTATAATTAAATATCATAAACTTCAATAATAAAATCAAAATTATTCATTCACTTTAACATTTTTAAAATTAGTGGGCATACATTATTTCTAAAATATTTATGACCATTTAATTATATTCATTATTATGCATCAATATTTTTACATGATAAGGAAATCATATCCTAAAAGTGTATAGACATTCAAATTAAAAGTCAAATATATATTTATGATAACATCTAATAAAAACTTGAATAAATATAGATTTTCAAAAAGTCCCCTTTGTAATGACCTTTGTATTATTTTATATGCTTGATGAAAGATTAATTCATCAAATATTAATTTAATGTTCATTGGGGACAATTTTCTCACTACTTTTAAAAGCAACTTTTCAGTAAAAAATTTTTCAAAAAGATTTTTTTTATTAATAAGCTACTTTAGAAAGCAATAAAAAAAAGTATCTTAAATGAAGCCTTAATCTTTGAGCAATATTAGTTCTTTGAGTTAATATTACACTCCTCTTTTTAATTATCTTAAAAAGGGCTTTAATTTAAGTTGATAATACAAAATTAAACAAGCACAAATTTAATTAAACACAATTAAATTCCAAAGCTGCTTTTGCTTGCAAATAGGAATGGCTAACTCAGATGCCTTCACACACCATTGGATACCATCAGTAGGAGAATGAGAGCTTCAAAAAATAATATTGACATTGCCTCAAATTTTTTTTATGAACAGAAAAAAAGGAAGAAATTCCATAGGGTATCAAAATGAGGTATCACAGTTAAATCAGAGTACAAAAACAAGGAAAAAACTTCAAATCCTCTGTAATTGTGATGGTCCTTATCACTAATTTCTACCTATAAAAAAATATAAAAATAAGCAATGAATGAATTTGAAGAAGCAAGAGGGAAAAGATCGAGTGCATCAGGAAGAAGGTTAGTGTGTTTAGGAGAGAGAATTTGTTTATGCAATCTCCTTTAGGTCTCTATCCAAGAAAGAATCCAAAGTAACCTTTGCATCAGATTTTTCATCATCTGCTGTAGTTTTAGTTTTCTGGGGGAATGATGCCTGCTTTAAGAGTTGTTTTGTTGCTGCTGCTGAGTCCTGAGAAGCTCTCAAATTAAGATATGTGTAGAAAGACATTCCAGAGAGAGCAACAATGGCGCCGCACAGGCTTACAATTCCTGGATCAGAATTGAAGAAGAGGTATCCACCAAGCATAATCACACAAGTCTTGAACTGGCCTAACACAACATGAGAGGTCGCAGATGTTGCACTGCAATAGCACAATAATGACTTAAAGAAAACTTGTAGAATATATTAAGCGAATAATTGTTGAATTCAAAATATGATGAATATATTTGCTTTTACGAAACTTAAATTAACAAAAAGTTAGATAACTAGTTTTGATAATCTTAAAGGGAATTATAGAAGATAACAGAAGGGAAAGAAAGAAGTGCCTTCTTAATGGATTGTTGATTCTATAGACCTTCTGATCACATATCTAGTAATTTCTCTCTTTTTAATACCTTTAAAAGGCAAAAAAATACTTATTTGTGAAAATTACCAATGAACTATGACCAAAGTTGTTGGAATAGGATCTGCAATAATCTCCAATCGCTTAAAACTCCACCAAGTCGTATTTGTCAATAAGCTAGATTGTAATTTATGATACAAATAACTCATCAGTGATCATCACTGCTTTCTTAAATTTTCACCTAACATGATTCAAGGAAGATAATTGATAGTGCTGAAGTATGCTCATGACTCCACCCACTCAAGCTCTGTACTCCTTATGTTCAAGCTCTACCACATCTACCGACCTAAATATCAATAAATATGGTAAATTTGTGCTACATTAAACATCTAAATTATAAAAATTCACAACCATTTCACTTATTCTCTCTGATATTCAGGTATAATTAGAGCAAAATTTAACAAGATCAAGATGGTTAATCTTCTTCATAGATGAGCACAGCAGAGTTACATGAATATTTGCTATGAAATAAAATCTTATGTTGAAAGAATTTTTGTTAGCTTTAATACCTTTGATCCAATCCCAATTTCAAAAAAAAAGAAAGTATTGAAGAATAACAATGCTTAAGGATATTTTGCATCAATCATAAGGAATTATTTATGCAACCAAGGAATCATTCATCAAACTCTTGAGTTGACATTCTCCAACAAAATTGAGTTGCTGAAAGAAAAAATAGCATCCTTTGGAAGTAGCCAGATCTCTAGTATTCACCACCCATATCCCTAAACATTTTTTAGGTGAAGTTGGGCTAGGTGCCACCTATTTCATAAATAGAATGCCTTTTCATGCTCTTAACTTCAAAGCACTCATCTTCGACCTCTAGAAAGCCCATCTTAACACTAAAATAGTTACACATAATGACAAGCTAACAAAACCTTATTCATAAAGAATCCACTGAAGGGAAATCAACTATTGTAATTGTAGGTGTGGTTGATATTTTACTTATAGGACATTTTAATTATGAGATAGCAACCACCAAATAACTTTTGGCTAAGTTAAAGATTTGGGAATTTTTAGGCATTTCTTAGGAATATAGATTGTTAGATCCCACAATGATATAATAGTCACTCTACACAACTTTGCTCTTGATGTTTTAAAAGAAAAGGCTTTCATGCAAACCAACCGATACTCCTATAGCTCTCAATGTTAAACCATAGACAAAAGATGAAATGCTTTTACTTAAAAAGGGGGCGCTGCCACCTTACACCCCCAACAATTACTTATAAGTTTAGGGTTTAGGGTGACGTGCTTGTTGGCACGGCGCATCACTTGAAGGGTCAAACGTCCGTTGCGATCAGAGAACCGAATTCACCTAATTGGGAACCTCTAACGAACAAATCGAGTGAAAACAATCGAAGTTGACGACCGATACCCAAAATTAATCCGTGATGTCGCCCAAACGACATCTAATCTCAAAACGGACCTCATCGTTGAAAATGACTGTAAATTCAAACAATTGAAGTTGCACGAGGAGATCAACACGAATCCTGAGGCAACGACCTACAAATCGAGGAGATTTACGCATGGCATCTCCCAAACAACGTCCAATTGCAAAATGGACTTTGTCATTGCATTCAGAACATTGACAACACCTAAAATCAACTATAACATCACCTAAAGAAATTCACCTAGAGAAATCAACGCGGATCCCGAGGTGACGATGCACAAATTTTGAGAAATGAGGGGATCAATTAACCATTTCATTTCTACCATCCTTAAATAATAATTACTATTACTATCATTATTATCATTAATGATAATAATTAAGAAAAAAATCATCAAAATCAATCAAAAATCAAAGATCATCTCAATCAAGATTATTTCAAATGTTTTGTGCCTGCGCTTTGTTCGAATCCCAGAAATCCTGCCCAAATTCCACAAAGTTCGCATTGAGTGACGCTACTTTCATTGATGAAATGAGAGAAAAATAGCTCTTTACGTTTCTTGGATTTTATGAGTTCTCAGCCAACCAATCTATCTCTTACCATGCTTACAACAGCTCGTCACTCAAAACCCTCAACCTCCAATCTTCCCTATTTGAGCAGCGCAAGTCAATCGGACCTGATGCCAGTTAACTTTCAACATTAAGCTTCTTGTAAATAATGATAATGGCATGTAACGATCGTAAGGACGCCCTCACCAATCAAGAATTTATTAAATGCACGAGTTCCTTGTAGACTAAGGATGTTGACTTGCAGATGAAAACAATAAACCTGCCTAAAGTTGATGATGTTCCCTGTAGACATATGCCTAAGCATGCAACGCCTATGCCATATGCAAGCAAAATGCCAAAGGGCCATGATGAATATAGGGTTACAATAAATGCAAGCACCTACGACCTATTGTAGGAGGCTCGTTGTGTGTACTACATGCTACCCACAAGCAAATACAAAAGGGTCATGATAAATGCAATTATCTACAGGCAGCTGCAAGAGATTTATCAGCGCACAACAGTCTACCTGCATAAAGCAACAAATGATCTGTAGCATAATACTACGATTCTCCTATAAGCAAAAGTAGAAAATCAATAGTAAAAAAAATGCAGGCCACTGAAGCGTAGCGCCACGACATCGAATCTGCAATACCCGTACAAGCAGACATAAGACATCTACAGGCTTCTAAATAGAATGTTATGGAAACCCAAATGATAATCATTCGCACAACTGATTAGTGCCAAATATTTTAAAAAGCACCTATATATTGCAACATGCATAATAATCTATTCAAACAAGTCATTCGATATCGCAAAAAAAAAATGCATTATGCCATAAAAGTATATCGCATTTACATGCCGACATGTTATACATGCATATCGTAAGCTGCTGCATTAAATTTGTGTGCAAAATGCAAAAATGTTGATATATAAGCACACATACAAATATGTTGCATATGTCTATTATATTGCATACATGCTAGCATCATACAATGCATACCCGCATGAGCCCCAACGAGCGCGTTGTATGTATACACGTTACGTCTAAAAATGCTGCGCAGGTCAAACATGAATCCATGTTCGAACCTGATCCTTCTACATGAATGGATAGGAGTAGACACGGCTCAAACAATCAAACAAATATACGGTTGTGGCGTCAACCAGTAAATTTATTTTATACATTTATATTAGGCCATCAAGGTCTATTACAAAGAAAAATTAACTAATAAAGGCGTAAAGCCAAAAATGAACCCAATCCTCCATTAATAAGTAGAAAGAGTTGACAAGGTTCGACCAACATAACGAAAATGCCCATAAGTACCCCTATGATGGTCGTGTTGATAAAAAATGTCAACTGGAGGGGTCTACAAATATTTAAAATGCATCCAAAACTCCCGAATGCCCATGTTTGAAATATTCAAAATTAAAATAAACCATAAAATACTTAAAGTAAATCCATCCACCCACCGCAACAATTTGCTGAGGTGGACAAATATAAAAATTATTTTAGCTCACAAAGAGCAATTATTTGGTCAAGAATATCACTAGGATTCATTCTTAAACAGTCTTTTGTTAGTAAGGACATGACATGTGTTATATAACCGGTGATTTTGTCGTCAAATGGCACAACTAAATTACAGTCATGGTCAATGCCCGTATGTTATCCAATGGCTTCAAATCCTTGATATATGAATCAATAACATATAATCGATAGGGCACAAAGCTCTCTTTTAGCTAAGATGGATTCAAATTTGTCACCATCAGCACATATTCACCCCAGGTCTCCAAGATACCCTTGGATGAAGCAACCCATGGCGGTCGATGGCTGCCGACAAGGATCCTTCGATCAAGTTGAGTTGACTACCTCCTTTGTTTAAGTAGACCAATGACTACTATGGTCTGGGACGACAGAACCATGGGATCTTGATTGGGCTCATCATCATCCCCCTCCCCCCCAACCATCCGCTTTAAGTACAAAGTGGTAAAATTCCAATTTTAAATATTAAATAGCCAAATACCAAATCACGTTGCAATTATACACCAAATACTACGTACCTCTACATATTTGTTTGACGACTAGCCTTAATCGAAAGTTCTCTCCATTACCGGGAGGAGTAATTAATTATAAGGACTTGCACTTATAAGAAAGATGAACTCAGATTATAAATTTCTCGTGCTGGCAAAATCCCTGGTAGTGACTTATTCAAAATCCAATATGCCTACTGAAAATTTGTCTTGGAACTTACTCGTTAAAACTCTCCACGACGACCCGAAAAAAAAAAAGAAAGAAAGGAGTCTGCGGAGAGGCTAGGGTGCGAATTTTCGGAGGCCACACGGTGATCTGGAAAATTGAAATGAAACTCATTGTTGTGAGCTGCAATGTTGAAGTAGAATTTGGAGCCATGGTCCATTGAGTTTATGAATGAAATTAAAATGATTACTCAATGTGTTGTTTATATAAAAAGAAAAACCCATGGCATTACTTTGTAACAAGCAAGTTGTAATAAGTATTGCAAAGAATCTTGTTCACCATGATAGAGCTAAAAAGGTAGAAGTTAAACGTCACTTCATAAAGGAAAATATTGACCTTGGGATTATTTCACTTCTTTAGACACTAGACCATCTAAAAATTGGTAACATCCAAACTAAAGATCTCTCAAGAAGTAATAACATGATTATGGTGCGAAGAATGCTTTTGCTATCCAACTTGAGGAGAGGGTGTGGAAAAGTCAGATTATCTGGGTTAGGTACAAACAAGAACCCAACTTATTTAGAAACAAGTAATTGTCAAAATAAAGATCCTTAATTTTTTGCTCCGACTGGCTGCTGTATTTGCTCCAAAATAATTCTAGATTTACTAGCATTAATGGGCTAGATTTTAGCACATGCTGCGGATGGCTTGCTACACCTAATTACTAGATATAGTCTCAATAATTAGGTGGATTTCAACACATAGATTGAGTGACCAACTAGTAGTTGTAATTATTTTGTCCAATTTTTATCCTCTAATTGCTTTGTTTATATTCCTATTATTCCATATTTGTTGCACGGTTATGGAATTCAAAATTTGAAACTTCGTATAAATGTGGGCTATATTTTAGGTTGGATTATGTCTTTTTTTTACTTACTATTTTTGATAACTCTATTTATGTGTGTGTAGTGTGTTTTTTTTTTTTTTTTTTTTAAGGGACTGAAGAATTATTTTCTCCTACATCCAATTCTCATTTTTCTTTAATTACGAGTTCATATAAACACAAATAGCAGTATAATCCTCATTATAATGGAGCTGACAATCCAAAATGGAATGGATTGTCTCTACACATGAAAATTCTCATTGAGTTCTTAGAAGGTAAAAGTCTTCAATTGATGCTTCTGCAAACTGCGGTTTATGCAAATGAACTAAGATAAATAGTCAAAAATAAAATTTTTTCACCCATAAGAAGCATTCTAACTTCTTTGACAAATCTAACACAAAGCAGTCAAAGTAGACAAATTTTTGGAAGTAATGAGTTTTTTTTATTGGCATCTGCGAGTAATGATGAACTGAGAATTTTTTGCAGCTTCAAATGTTAAAGGTTATTCAGTTCTTACCCTAGAGCAAGAGCCCCAGACCATTGAAGGAGAAACCCAAAAACAGCAGATATTAAGATAGCCGTTAAGTTGTTGGAATCCCAATTGAAAGAAAGCAACCCAGGCGGGTCTAGCAATGGCATCAACGCCAAGAAGAAGAAGATAGTTATTGGAGTAGTTTTCCACATCAACCTAATCATTATCTTGGTTGAGATACATAGTAAAAGTAATATTTGAATTTTGAAAAAAAATCACCAAAGCAACTTACGAAAGAGCCGTCCAGTTGCCAGTTTGCTGCATGTTAGACCATAGAATTTTATTAACAGCACTTGGGACAATCCAGGCCAATGATATGCTAGCACCAAACAAATTGAACTCTAGATCAGTGACAGTTGCAACAGCCACACCTATAGAAACCACACCAAGTGCAAGAACCTGCCTCACCAAAAGTTATATAAAAAAAAAGAAATAAGAAAATCAAGGCTTTTCTAAAAAAAGAAACGGGATACACTGCAAAAACTTCTAGTGCGGTATATTTAAGCACTATAAGCGCAAAAACAAGAAAAAGGGTTTGAAGTGGGAGCTGCGCTATTCAATGCTAAACATAACATAGTAGAAAATAAAATAAAAGAAAAATCCTCACCAACCTTGTAGAGAGTAACCTTTTTACTGAAAAAAAGGAATTCAGCAAGTGCAATTGTTGGTGTAACGGATATCTTGGCCATCTGATAGAACCCAACACTACAAACAGGTAACTGATTAAACAATTTGAAAAAGTGAATTTTATGATCAAGTAGTAGTGAATTAGTTAACATTGAAAAGAGCATTAAAACACTAATCAGGGGGTAATTGCTCTAGCCCTCTAAATAAGAGGCCCATAGTTTGAAACATAGGGAAAAAAGCATTGAAAGACATCAAAATTATGCAAATATATCTTGAGTCGATATATCACGCGGTCATGCTCACCTGTTGTGCTTCAAACTTATATTAGAAAGTCCTGTTGAAAACGACATAACAGCACCCAAGAGAAATAAAGAGGAGAATGGTGTGGATTTTGAAGGAGGGGATACAGGAAGCAATGAGAATAATCTAAAGACTGCCATCAGAAACCATGCAGTCACATAGTGTATCAAAGATAGTGCGACCGGGAAATTGAAACCAATTTTGCCCATCACCTGTAAAACCAAAAACAACATAAGACTATGAGGGTCATGTTCAGTTACAGATGTGACGGGATTGAATGAACTATAGTTCACAGAAAATTGTTCTAGCTTATTCAGATGTAAGGAAGAAACTTTATTTTAGTTGATGTCAAATGTAGCTATAGGAACACGGTGGTTTTCAAGTTGGTATTGTATAATCAAGCAAATTAACAATAAAATTTATTCCCTTTGTTGGATTGAATGACCTACCAATTTATTTGCCATGATTATTCCAACAGAGATCATGAAATTAAAAGACATTGCCACAAAAGGACCACAATATGTCTGTTGTTTCCGTCTTGCTCCCTCTGAAGTATTGAAATCATTATACAAAGAGCTGCGAAATTCTTCAAGCGAAAGACCTGCACACAATAAGAGTGACAATTGAATACAGGGAAAATATTTGATATCCACACACAAGAAACCAACTCCCTAAGATCTTATAATTATTTTTTATGTGCATTCATATATTTGATCGCAGCAAAGCAATATTGCTCAGCAGGTAAGATTTGCACATCCGAAAAATGAAAACCAGTGAAGAAATAAAAAATCAGGGGAATACACACATTAAATAAATAATACATTTGTCAAATTATTGCTTTTTTGCAAGTCACTCGAATGGTGGGAGTAGATTTGCTAGACCTATTAAAGCAGCAAAAAAAACAACAACCATAGAAGCCCTTTATCACGATAGATCAAAACCCTAGACTCACCACAAAAGAATGCATCACAGAAAAATCAGAGAAGAATATTCTGCACAATAAATTAACGCAGAACTACAATCAAAGTTCACCAAGAATATCATAAATAACCTAGTAATACTTATTCCGCATTACATAAAGATAATTAAGACATTCACGAAGATGAACCAAACAAGATTAATGCCCTCAAACAACTAAACAAAAACAAAAATTTAATTGAAGTCTGGTTGGAAGGAAAAACAAAAGGCCACATAAAAAATTTAAAGCCCGAAAGAGAAACCAAATGCCTGAAATCCATTTCCACCATCGCGCATTGCAAGAAAAACTATTTTAAAAAAAAAACATCCTTTCCATTCAAAATCAAGCAATCCAAGTAAAAGGAAAAAAGAAAACAACGTCGAGGCGAAACCTAGTTCCCCTGCATCGCTATCCTTCCTTTTGATGAACCTCCTGGCGTTCTTCCCCAAAACAGAATCAAGCAAACTCATTTTGCCGAAATCCAGGATATATCAGAGCATAGCTTTGAGCCTTTGAATCAAAGGAATCAAGACCAACCTTTCCTTAATCGTCCAATCACTTTATACGTTTTTTAAGCTACGATTTCCAAGGAAGAAAGAGAGATGGAGATATGCGAATAGAGAGCGACAGAGAGAAATCAGGGGCAGTCCTGCAGAATGAACGAAGACGGGGAGGAGCTGCGTTGTTTTCGCAATCACCAAAGAAAAAAAATAAATAAAAAAAAGAGGATTATCAGATTATGTATATTTTGAACCATGAGGTAAGGGACCGTGTTTTGAATTAAGGAAAACCACCTGAATATTTGTCTTTTATTAATTATTTTTATTTGCTTATTTGTGCCAAATTACAACCATTAAATCGAGTTTTTATTGATAGTAGTAATGATCTCATTTTTCTGTATATTTTTTGTCTCTCTGTAAAATAAATAATTATTTTTGATATTTTGAGTAATTTATAATGTGTAAGTATTGAGGCTTTTTTATGAGCATATTTGTTTTATATTTATTTCTTTGTTACATTATATTTACACATATGCTTATGATTGTATGCAATCAAAGAAATGCATGCTATGATATGTATATAGTGAAGACTTATTCTAAAGTCTTGAGTGAGAACTTAGGCATTGGGTGTAATAACTGCCATTCGGAAGTCAATAAATAATCTCTTAAAATGTAAATTTTAAGTTTAATCAGTAGTTATAAGTGTTATTAAATTGTTTGAACATTTGGGTCAAGGAAGTGAAAATATGAAATATGGATTTTCTTCTATCAGTTCTGTGGCGTTGGATTCGAGCGCTTCGGTGCTCTAGTCTCGGTGAAAAAATATTTTTGAGGTTTTGGAGGATCGTTTTGGCTAGGTAACATCTTTATCATATAAGAAATAAACCCTATGGTAGCACTGCAGCGTTGAAAATGGTAGCGCTGTGGTGTTTCGACAAGTTAATGCTTTCTAAAATAATAAATATCTAAAGTCACTAACCCAAATCTTGAAATTTAGTGATGGTTGTTAAACCTCAAATAACTTGCCCAAGGTTAACCAAGAGTGAGGTGAATTGATATTTTAAAATTTCTATAAGCAAAAAGAAAATCCCATTTTTAAAGATTTTTTAAAATATATGAAAATCTCAATTTTATCCCTTGATGCAGAAACAAAGTTATTTCACAATAAAAGAGATTCAGAGTTTTCAACCACACAAAAACAAAATCATAGAAAAATAAAGTATGAAAAATAATATGAACAAACATAATAGAATTTATAGTGCTTCAGTCCAACCTGACCAACGTTCACTCCCCAGAAACGTCCATTCTAGGTATTGCACTAAATATTTAGTGACTCCCCTTTAGCCCCCACTGCTAGGTGGAGAAACTCTTACAAAATCTCTTCCACCAACCTGGTGCAGTAGATGACCGTAATCCTTTTTCTCCCTCTAGGAGATGGCAGAGAACCTCAAATCCTTTTTCACCCTCTAGGTGATGGCAGAGAACCACAAATCCTTTCAAAGGAACATAACCTTGAATCCCTTTCATCTTCCCTGGTGCGGTGGAGTAGTTGTGTCATTTGACAGCAAAGAGATCTTACTCCCAAAACCTCCATCAAGGAAAGCCTTGACTATGATGGTAGGTTCAAGTTTGTTGGAGCAACCATGTGAAACTCCTTCTCTCACTCTCTTAAACCCCACAAGGATCTTCTCTCTCTCTCTCTCTCTCTCTCTCTCTCTCTCTCTCTCTCTCTCTCTCTCTCTCAAACCCCATCCTTTCCTCTCTCAAGCTCAAGGCTTTCTCTTCAAGATTTCTCAAGAAGAAAAATGACTCAATGAATGCCAAAGACCGATCATGTGTTTGAAAAAGCTTAAATAGAGAGCTTTTTAAAAAACCTTAAAAACTCAATTATGGCGTACTGATCGTTTAGTATGATCTTAGGATCATCCTGTATGATTCGTTCAAAATGGCCATTTTAGCCAATACAAATAGCATTTCCTTGTACGATTAGTTTAAGTGATTATATTGACCGCCCTATACGACCGAGAACATCGTCCAGTATGATTATTATAAATACATAGCTAATCATCTCGAATGATAGGTGGCGATTAAATATCATACCATATAGGAATCAAATCATCAAGTACGATCATTTCTGATCATCCTGTATGATCTGATTGAATAATTTTACCATAATTCAGCTCATAATCATGAGATCAATTTAGGCATGATTGTCATCGATCATTTAATATAATAAAGATCATATGATATGATTATAATAAAATTTGAATTATAAAATAATACCTAATTTGTGATTGGTGGCTATTTTAATGATTTCTACGGATCATTCAGTACAATGAATCATACAGTATGATCAGTTTAAATTGTGTTAATATCAAAATTAGTCATTTTAATAAGCAAATCGTATAGTAGGATGTAAATCATATTGTATGATTAGTTCGGAAATTTAAATAACTAATTTCGATCCAATCTTATAAGGTCACTAAGTTAGCAGGCACCTTTTCAAGTCTTGACACAAAAAATAAAAAATTTATCAATAAAATATTACAAATTCTTTACAATATAATCTATTATATCTAATCTTGAGCCATGAATTATCATTTAATGGTGCATGAATGTTCCTGAAATGTCAGTACACACACAAATAAATATATAATGCAAATACTAGACACAAAGATGTGAGCTATAATATTTGTTATCATTAAAATACAAACTCGTGAGCTCGAGTTGTAATAATCTTCCCTTTTTTATGATGTCAAATATTACTGGTTAAATTTATAAACTAAAAATATTTTCCTAATCTCCTCCTAACTAAGATAATTATTTTAAAAATAGAGGAATCCAATTTTATGTTATTTAATTTTTAAATAAAAATAAAAAAAAAACTTTTACAAACTAAATAACTGATAAACTAAGACATAAATAAAATTAGACAAATATGTTCTCCCCCTTTAACATTATAAAAAAGAAGAGAAACACATGATAAAAGAATAAGAACAGAACAATTATAACAAACTAAAGATTATACGGACCATGATTAGATAGAGATTGTTCTTAAGAAGAATCAAATGATATCAACAAATTTTCTTGGAATGAGAAAGTTACCACTTGATTTTATTCAAAACATTTTATAAGAAATGTCCAAAAAGGTTATGTTATTCTAGCTCAAGCTCCCTATATTCCAAACTCTCTTTAAACAAGAATCTAAGTAAAAAAAAAAAAAAAAAAAATTTAATATTTTTAATCTTCTTACATGAAGTATTTCTAATAGAATATCAATGCAAATAATGGTGAATAATGAATCATGATTTTCAAAATAAAGTATAAAAAATATTAGTAGACATATGAATTTTCTAAGATTTAAAGATATACAAGAAAGATAGGCAAATTTGCTTTTGGCTTATTTTATTCCTCTTTATTAATTTTGACGTACATTGCATATTTTTTTTTTATTTTGGGCTCATTTTATGCCTCGTTTTATTTTGGTGTATATTACACATCATTTCATTTTGGGCTCATTTTGTTCCTCTTTCCATTTTAGTAATTTACTTCATTTCTTAATCTTTAAACGCTTAATTATAAGATTATCTTCCACATATAAGAGAAAAAAATTCATTCTCTTATAAAAGAATGAATAAATTAAAAAACAAACCCGATCTTATGATAAAAATGAATAGCTTGAATAAAAATTTTTTTATGTGGATTTAACAAATTGCAAAAGATTCCTAAGAGATAAATAAATACAGGAAGATGAAAAATAGTTAATTTCTATGTCTGGTTTTTAATTTGATACAAATTTTGATTTAAAAGAGAAATAGTCCCAATAAACAAGTGAGATGGAGAGACATAATCATGAATTTTCTTTCTTTAACTATTTAGAAAATTCAATCATCACATACAAAAAATTTTAAGTAAAAAGTATGTAAATTTATCATTTTAATAAAAATTGTGACCAGAACAAAGTTATTTCTCTTATACATATATGAAAACTAATGTGATTTGTGTGTGTTGATCAGAGAGACTAGATAAAAAAAATATGGAAAATAAAATAAAAGATCACAAACATAAATAACTTTCTACAAAACAATAATAAAAAAAATAAATACATTCACAATGAACTAAAAACATACACTTATACATTAACTATAAAATAAATAAACACATAAACAAAACTTTATACCTCATTATCTTACTCCTGGTTTGATGATTCAGAAGCTAGGTCTACCTAGAATTTTTAAATTAGGACACTTATTTTTTATATCTCCAGATTTTCTACACCTAAAGCAAATAATGTTAGAGAAAATATTAACATTCTTATCATTTTTACCTTTGTTCCATTTTTATTTGATATTTGAGCTTGTGCTTCAGTAGATTTTCAAATTTACTTATTATTGATGATATCTCCTTACTCTCATCATCTACTAAGTCATTTTTATGTCTTCAACTTTTAGCATTATAATTTCATTAGCATTTAAAAGTTTTTGACTCACTTTGCTTGAGTTAGCCAATTAGATTATCAATAGAATAATCATTCAAGTCTTTTGATTCAAATATAGTAGTGACTTTAGTATTAAATTTATCAGGTAAACAATATAGAATGTTATTGATATTTTTAAAGTTTGAAAGTTCTTTACCTAAAAAATATAATGATGTCACTAATTGAGTAATCCTAGTATACATGTCTAAGATAGTCACATAACATTTCATGCAAAACAGTTCATAGTAGTGCATTAAAATATTCAATATATATTACTTGACTTTAGTAGTACCTTCATATGTAGTGCATAATCTATCCCAAATTATCATATCAGTAGTGCATTTAGAGACTCTCATATAATCTTTAGAATTTAAAGTGCAAAAGAAATAATTCAAACATTTAGCATTCAATTGAGCATAACTTGGTTATACTCTACTCCATTCAATAAATATAATATCAATTTTGACTCCATCTACAATATATGATGGTACAGAATAACTAATTTGAATCATATGCCATATTCGATAATCTATTGATTGTAAAAAAGTATACATGCAAAATTTTTAAAAATAATATATATATATATATATTTATAATCAAATAAAGGTGATCATGTGATTGAATATCCTTCCATGATATTATGATTTCTAAAGTTAGCCATTGATAATTTTTTAAAAGTTATTTAAAACTTTTTTTTTGAATCTCACTCGGATACCATTTAAAATGTTAGAAT